CAGAATCTATCTTCTTTTTTAAAAGTCAATTCTGGAAAAATATTAGCCATTATCTCTCCAAGTACTGCCTTTCTTACATTCTTTTTGGGATTTTTGTTAGTTTTAACCTTCATAATCCTTACTGTTCCTTCATATTTTCCTTTTATCCCTTTGGGCAACACTCAATGAATTTTTTTCAGTTCATTAATTCTCCTTCCATCTGTTTACCCTGTCCATTGTGGGTTTTGATTTTAAGAATTCTGTTTCTCATTTTTTTAAGGGACTTTTGGGAAACCTGTTTTTATTAAAGCTGAAGATAACTGGTAGGTATGTATTTATCACAAATGCATATATGTTTGCTGAAAGATACAAATGTGGTCACAGTGATACAAAACTAGAAGCAATCCAAATGTTCAACAGTTGAATGAATACATTTTGATATATTCATACAATGGAAATAATGAGAATATACAAAAGTGAAAATGAATAAGTCATTGCTGTACACAACTCCATGGAAGAACCTCATAAAAACACTACTGAATGAAAGAATCTAGACACCAGAATATATATCATATGATTCATTAATACAGGTTCAAAGTAGGAAGACCAGAGCTGTAGTATAAGGAATGTAGCAGAATTCTAAGATAGCTGGCAAGGTTCACTCCCACTGCTGTACATGCACTGTGTCACCCCCATCCTTTGACTATGGGTAGGACTTTGAATAACTTGATTTCTCTCTGTAATTAGGTTACATTAAATGGCAATGGTAAAGAAATTTTGCTGTTGTAATTAAGGTTCCTAATCAGTTGAGTTTGGATTAATTAATTAAAAGGAAGATTATACTGGGTGAACTTGACCTAATCAGATGAGCCCTTTCAAAAAGATTCTAGGCCCTCACTATTGATTTGAAGGTGGAGAAATCCTCCTGCTGGCCATAGAGAAGCAAGGGACCATTTTGTGAACTGTGGAGGTGATCATGGCACAACAATCCAAGAAAGGCCTGTAGAAGGTGAGAATTACCCCCAGCCGACAGCTAGAAAACAGTGACTTTAGTCCCATGACCATATGAAAAAGGATCCTGAGCCCCAGACGAGATCACAGTCATGACCAACACCTTTACTACAGTCTGGTGAGATTCTAGGCAGAGAATCCAGTTTACTATACCCACACTCCTGACCCAGAGACTATGAGACCACAAATTTGTGCTAATACCAATAAAGTTAGAGCCGTTAGCTACCCAGGAATAAAAAATTAATATGAACAGCCAGGCAGTAGTTTCCCTTGGTGAGTGAGAGGTGATGATTGGGAAGGAAATCTGATGGAGCTTCTGGAATGCTGGTAATGTTGTATTTCTTGATTTGGGTGTAGTCTAAATGGATGTTGACTTCATAAAAATCCATCAAGCTAGACACCTATGATATATACAGTCTATCAGGTATGTTCCACCTCAATACAAAGTTTACATAAAAAGAAAAATGAAAACAATGGATATAGGCATTGGTATGTATTTTATTATTTTATACACAAAGTCATTTTGGTGTATGAATCACATACTACATCTACACATAGAATGATGTAATCATAAGGGATCATGTAATCATAGGGGATCTTAGCATGGTTGTATTTCTCTTACTCTTTTCCTGAGTTTTTTCAGTCCTGTCAGAATTCTTCTCTTTTTTTCCCAGGCTTATTTTAATTTGTATTCCTTTTTCTTCCCAGTATGAGGGAAATAGAAAAAAAAAAAAAAGAAAAAAGAACTACAACTAAATTTTGGAATGGAATATACTATGTTTTAAAATACACTGTAGTTTTTTCGCTTGCTTCTTTTTTTTTTTTTCTTTTTGGTAAGCACAAATTAACACTAATGCATTTCCATGTCTCTATTTTTCATTTTTAAAAGTCCACTTCAATTTGTTCTTTCCAAACAGTATCTTTTTATGAGCTTTATGTTAATTCTTTAAACATATCAAACATTCCACAATCTGAATATAACAATTCCACTCTTTATATCCCTTAGGTATCTGTTTTTTTCTTTTTTTCTGCACTCATTGATTGTAGCTTCTCAGTGATCAATAGTTTAGATAATTTTAATGTTAATTTTTTCATGTTAATGTTGCTACCTCACACAGATAGGCTGAAATAAATCCTACAACAGAGGGTAGCACAATTTATAACAGTAACAGATTATTACTATTTTTCTTTTCATTCAAGGTATGATAGTTTTTTTGCTGTTTCCCTTGGGCCAAATGATGTGGTTTTACAGGTCCTCTTTCTTCCTGCATTTAATAGTTCTTTCTCACTACAAAGAGAGCTGGATCTGCACCTCTCCCCCCTGCAGGCTCCGGGCCACTGTTACTGCCCACCAGCACACCACATCCACTTTTCACCTAGTACTGCTTTCTCGTTTGCAGAATGCAGGTATTTCCCTGTCTTTAATTACTGTTATTAGTCTGCTAAGGCCACTATGACAAATACCACAGGTTGGGTGTCTTCAACAACGTGAATTTATTTTCTCACAATTCTGGAGGCTGAAGTCCAAGTGTGAAGAATCAGCAGGCTGGGTTTCTTCTGCAGTCTCTCCCCATGGCTTGTAGAGAGCTGCCTTCCCATAGCGGAAGGTGCAATTGACCCTCCTCTTCCCCCTTGCCACCTCATCCCCAAGGCCTCTCCCTCCTCCTCTCCTACTCATCCTTTATTTAGCACTTACGCCCTGTGAAGCCCTGTGCCAAGTGCTTTGTGAGGGTTCTCTCACTGACTGGTCTTAAGGCTTTCCCAGGTGAGTACTGTGAGGGGCTCCTTTTTAAGGAAACCTGGCCAGAGAGGGTGGGTCATTTTCTGACATCACACAGCCAATACAGGGTGCAGCTGGTATTTTAGCACTGGAGATGCATGAGCAGGCACAGCACACATCCACACGCCCACTGGCAGAAGGTAATGTAACATACAGCAGATATATACATCAAGGAAGGCTCCGATGCTAACTCCAAAATCACACACACAGGGAAGCAGGCCATGCAGAAACGCGTCTCATGTGGTTTCCTGCTGTGTGCAGACATCCCTGGTGTGTCCGTATGTTCTCATCTCTTCTTGTAAGGAGGCCAGACTGGATCAGGGCCCACCCTGATGATCTCCTTTAACCTTAATTACCTTCTTGAGGCTCATCTCCAAATACAACTCACCTTCTGAGGTTCTGGGGGTTAGCACCTCAACATATGAATTTGGGGGGGCCACAATTTAATCCATTAACAGCTATGCAAGTGAAGTCTGGGGGTCATTTATGTAGCATTTCTATGTTTTTTAATCTGTGTTGATAGAAGACTTCTATAGGAATTTTAAAGTGTTTCAAACATTATCTGAAAATACTCAGGACCCCATTCTCCAAAATTATAACTAAAACCCACAATAAAGTTCTAAGTTTTTTAACTTTTTTTTTTTTAATTGTAACATTTCAGATGACTATTTCTGGGAAGGGGTATATATTTACAGATATTAGACTCAAGTAAATACGAATTTAGACATCTTTACTGCTGAAAGCAGTATCAGCAAACTGAAAGAAAGCATCTGGGTATCAGATCTGTGGTTGAGGGCTGCCATGCTAGCTTAACCCTTTAACTACTGTGCTTCTTTGAACAAGGTATCTGAGCTTTCTGAACATCAAAGGAGAGTAATTCCACTCTTTCTGTGCATTGTCCTAAGCATTGAATAATAATGCAATTTCAAACGATAGTTCTAAAATTCAGCGCACTACTTAAGGCACACTGGGAAGCACATTTTAAAATATGCCATTTTTAGGTCTGTTCAGCAGAGGAGTCCACGGGTCTATGGTCAGGCTTAGGAATTTATAATTTTCAAAAGCTTCTCCAGTTGATTCTGTGGCCCAGTTATTATTGTTCTTTTTGTTTTCTTCTTTTTTTTAAGATTTTATTTATTTGACAGAGAGAGAGACAGCAAGAGAGGGAACACAAGCAGGGGTGGTGGGAGAGGGAGAAGCAGGCTGCCCACCCAGCAGAGAGCTCGATATAGGGGATTTGGGGCTAGATCCCAGAACCCTGGGATCATGACCCGAGCCCAAGGCAGACACTCAACAACTGAGCCACCCAGGCACTCCTAGCCCAGTTAAAAATAAATTCTAGAGGGGCACCTGGGTGGCTCAGTGGTTAAAGCCTCTGCCTTCAGCTCAGTTCATGATCTCAGGGTCCTGGGATTGAGTCCCACATCGGGCTCTCTGCTCAGCAGGGAGCCTGCCTCCTCCTCCTGTCTCTCTCTGCCTGCCTCTCTGCCTACTTGTGATCTGTCAAATTAAAAAAAAAAAAATTCTAGATTCTGCTCACTTTGACCCTACACATATAGGCAAGAAGAAAACAGAAATATATGATAAAGGATAAAAGCCAGGAAAAATATGACCAGGGAGAAACATGGAGGCAGAAGGCATTCTAAATAATAGAAATAGAATGGAGACAATGAGCAACTGAAAGTAAATTAATTTTTAAATGAAAACATTTTACAAATAAACAAGTCATATGTTATCATTGTGCAAATGCGACCATAAAAGAGCAAAGCCCCCTGTTCCCTCCCGCCATGTATCGTCTGAGATGTCCGTATGTTCACATACACACATACCCTCTCTGCTGGGTTTCAAAATTATACACACATGTATACAACAGTATTAAACTGTTCCGTAATTTTTTTTTTCACTTAATGGTATATTAAGAACACCTTCAGAACTGACTCATGTTCAGTGGCTGGATACATCACTCCTGTTCAGATTTTATATATAAAATGCAAATAATATATATCATACAGGCATTTACTAGCACTTATGCAACTATTTCCATAGGAGTGATTATTTACCTACCTATGCTGTGTTCTTCCCACCTTTTTCTTTCTTTTTTTTTTTTTAAAGGTTTTATTTATTTATTTGACACAGAGAGGTCACAAGGAGGCAGAGAGGCAGGCAGAGAGAGGGGGAAGCAGGCTCCCCGCTGAGTAGAGAGCCCGATGCGGGGCTTGATCCCAGGATCCTGAGATCATGATCTGAGCCAAAGGCAGAGGCTTAACCCACTGAGCCACCTAGGTGCCCCTCTTCCCACCTTTTTCTATATAACCTGACAATTTCACTTGTTAACCAAGAAATGACTTCAGTTTCAAAATATGCCAAATACATTCGGCTTCTCCCTCTCTATATATTCATATATATATATTCAATATAATAAATATTATCAATATATACATATCCAGCACAATACACAGCACACACTCTGAGTCAGGACTTGGTGAACTTCAGGACTGAGAGGAGTTCTTGGCCTGCTTGCCTGGAAAGTGCAATAGTTCCTCGTAGACCTCTTGTTGTCATTGCTTCCAAAATTTCTTCTAGAATAAAAATTAATACAAAAGGTAAAATCAAAATCATCTGGTGAAGAGTGTATAATCATTAAACAGTTCAGTAAGATTGTAAATGCAGACTATTTACAAATTCTACTCATCTGAGAAAATAATGTATACCAAGTAAATTTCTATTGAGACGGACTTTGGTCAAATGGAAGCACCTGCATTTTCAAGGTATCATGGAGAACTCTAATCAGACTGAACCGCCTTGCTTTGTAGCGGTGGCTACTCTGGATTCAAACGTTAATTACATTTGTCGTTAGAGCAAATAATTAGTTTAGTTGCTTCGCTCCCATCCTGGCCTTCCACACTTCATTTGGGATGAAAAAAGTCAATGAAAGTAGGGCAAACTGTACAGTGACACTAAACAAGTGCAAGTAAATGAAGTAGCTTATTTCTTTCAGGCATATTGAAAAAAGTAGCACCTTCCCTTTTGTAAGTAAGTCAGAGTAAAAAGGCTGAATTAAGAAAATGGAGTTACAAACAAAGGAACACTTAGTAATCATGATGTGATTTGAGAGGCTAAGGATATAAGGTATAAGATGAAAATCAAACTTCTGTAGTGAAAGAGAAGAAAGATTATGGTCAATTTAGTTATGGAGTCATCTGAAAATCAATTATCTAAAAATCCATCCCATGAGCCATATCCATGACAAAACCTCACACGAACTGAAGAGTCCATAGCAGAATTGTTAAGGGCATGAAGACTACAATATGGAGGGAGACGACCGCAATGTGGACAGAAAATTCATAATATTCAGGGTGAGGTGTTAAAAGATTTTACAGATAAAATATTACAGATTTTGTGTTTGAATTATGAGTTTGTTAGGGGAAAAACTGTCCTCCCCCCTTAAAAATATTGTACTTTCTAAAACAAGAAAAAACATCTTAAAAATCTCTCTCTTCTTTCAATATGAGTGTTAAGTTTGTGTGAGCTGTTGTCAGTGATTCTATTTATAGCATCTCAGGTTACTTTATAGTCTTTAACATTAACTTTTGCTTTCAGCAAAGTAAGTGGCTAAAGATAAACTGGTCTGGATTACCTGGATTGTTTTCTCTGATGGTAACTAGATAGAATAATCCTCTTGGTGACAGAAGATCTGCAGCCAGTGGTAAGAATCGGTCCATGACTTCCCGGCCGTTTCTGCCACCAGCCCAAGCTGCTTCTACTCCGTGACTTCCTACCTGTAACCATTTAGAAAAGACTGTTTTGTTTTGATTCAAGTTACATTTAGAATCACACACAGAATCTTTCTGACAAGTAACATTCACCAAACAAGTATATACTTTGTATTTTACTGCTGTCCAGGAGGCAGAAAAGTTGAATCTGAGCCCCACCATTTCCTAGCCCTGTGACCTTATGTAAGTTTGTCATTTTTGTGAATTAGTTTTCTCCCTTATCTGTAAAATCAGAAAAGCAATAGTTTCAACTGTAAAAGTAGAAAAATGATAACAAATTCATTTCTTCCATTGCTAGAATCATGGAGGAACTATATTTGAAGTTTGAAAACACTGCTCTGCACATATCAAGTGCTTAGTAAGAGTTGTTACTATTTATGCAGTGTTTATATTGATAGATGTAAGTGATTCTTATACTTACTACAGAAGAATCAGGAAGAAACTAAAAGGGAACTCTTACATTATAAGAGATTTACTTTGCAGGAAGTTAGTTTCAACATGTTCCGCTCAATCTGGCTCTCTTCTAGATTAAAGTATGAATTGTATAGACCTTTTTAAGGAACCATTTAATACATAAAGGCTCACCAAAGCATTTCTTCATGTAACAATCTAATTATATCATAGAAGCAAAACCCATGAGATTTCATGAGGTCTTAAAAATTTTTAGATTTTTATCATTGTATATTGTTTTCAAAACTAAAGAATATTTTGAAGAAACCATTCAAAAACTATTTTAACCCTAACAATTATTTTCTTTCTGTATCTTTCACTGGTTTTGTCTGTAGTTTAGTTTAAATTAATTGTATACAATCATGCTTACTGTTTTTATTCATTTAAATGGTATACATTTCTTCATTAATGTAAATTTCTTTATACCTATACTATTTTATAAATAAGAGAAATACATTCATTATACATGCTTTAAAAAAAACTGCACTTTCCCTTTTTTTTTTGTTTTGCTTGTCTGCTCCTTCCTGATCTCTCTCTCACACACACACACACACACACTTACACGCACACACAGTTTTTTCTTTTTTGTCCATGTCTTACAAAGACAGAATTATATTCTGTATTTTTATCCCATTATCTTGCTTTTCTCATTCAACAATACCTTCAGATGAGCTCTTCATATGATCAGGTATGGTTCTGATTTACTCTTTTAATGGCTGCCCAAGATTTTCTAATGTAAAAGTATCCTATCTTATGTAGCTATTGATGAGCACCTGATGCATTCATTTGCTAAACTTTTTTTGCATCTAAGTTTTTTAAAAGATTCATTTATTTGTTTTAGAGAGAGAGCAATGGAGCAGAGAAGGGGCAGAGGGAGATAATATCCAAGCAGCCTCCTGCTGAGGGCTGAGTCCCATGCGGGCTTGACTGCACCACCCATGACATCAGGACCTGAGCCGAAACCAAGAGTTGGACACTTAAGCAACTGAGCCATCCAGGTGCCCCTTTTCGTATATAATTTAAATTATTCCCATATCTATCATAAATGTCCTGATACAATTTTCCACAAATTATGTTAGGAAAGTTATCAGTTCCTCTGTTTTCTGTCAAGACTTTCCTCCTAGAGACTTCTTTTTCCTGGCATTCCTAGAATTACTTCTTTTTCTGGGGCTCTTGTCTTCCTTTTCCTTGGTTTACCCTTGTATTTTGGTGGAGCCCATTCTATGGATGTTTCATTAGGTAAAATGGTCTGTGGACAGACACACTGGATGGTGATAAGTCTGTCTCTCGTTATTCTCAACTAGGACCCCTCTGTGCGAGACCCTGTTTATATGCTTCCCCAGGGATGCTCGGCCAGGTTTATCTGCTTGCATTAGAAATGCCCCTACGGGAAGATCTCCTGGCACCAGGCACATTCTTACAGACCACAGAGGGAGTGTTTCCATCTTTCCAGGGAGGAGTCATGCTTGGTGGCCTGCTGCCCGCCTGCTGCCCGAGCCTTGCCGGGCCTGCTCCTGATCTTTCACGGCTCACGGGCACACACCGGGAGAACCTCAGCTCCTGTTTCTAGATATACCAGTAAGTACAGCCACAATCGTTTAGATGCACTAACTCCCATTATTTTTATATCATGTCTCCTGGATCTAAACTCTACGTCTCTTATCTTTTGCCTTCATGATTTCCTTTTTTTTATCTTTATGTGCCGTGCACTAAAATCTTTCATTTGGTTTCCAGAACACCAATTAGGTCTTGACAGAGACCAGATCCTCTTTTAATTCATTTCCTAATGTTTTATTTTGTAAAACATGTTTTTAAAGCTCAAGGAAATCTTCATTATCCTACACTTTGATTCTGCTGTCCAGCTAACTGCTCAGCTCATGGGAATTATGACACTCGCTCTCGCTGTTGGGACTGTGAAAGAGCAGAGGTCCTGCCTCCGCTCAATCATCAACATGTTCCAGCAGTTCAGGAGAAGCAAGTATGTAGCTTAGTAGTGGAAATGTGGGAGAAAGGAAGCCCATTCGTGTCCCCATGTTCCCAGAATCTCCTCTTCATTCACTCGTCTTGCCAGAAGTTTATAGATCTGATAGACCATGATTTACTTAACTGCATTTCCTCTGTTACATATATAGGTTCATATTATTTGCTATCATAAATAAACATGCAACAAGCATATTTTTGTGAACATCAACTTTTATTCTACTGTTGAATGATTTCTTTCTTTCTTTCTTTCTTTCTTTCTTTTTTTTTTTTAAGATTTACTTATTTATTTGTGAGAGAGAAAGACAGCAAGAGAGAGTGTACAAGCAGGCGGGGCGGGAGGCAGAGGGAGAAGCCACCAAGCAAGGAGTCCGGAGTCCGACACAAGACTCCATCCCAGTGTCCTGGGATCACAACCCAAGCCAAAGGCAGAGGCTCAAACGACTGAGCCACCGAGGCGTCCCTTGAATGATTTTAAATTATATCTCAAGGACTGAAATTATTGGACTGGAACATTTTTATCATTCTTGAGATTTATTCACACAGTCCCTTCCTAAAGAGTTGTACTAAGTTGCATTGGCCTCAACCTCCGTTAACCTTCTAACAATACTTTCCTTCTCATAGGCGTTCCTAGTCAGAGGAGCAAGAAGTTCTCAGTTGCTTAGCTGCCCTTAGTAGTGATAGCAGCTACACAGACTTTGCCATCTTGGCAGAGAACAATGTCATGTTTATCAGCCTTGCCATGATTCATTGATGAATAAAACAGGATCATGAAAAATTCAAGGAAAGCTGGCCTTAGTTCATTATTAAATTTTGTCAGCCTTGACCATTCTCTCTTTAAATTCAGATATGATTTACCTCTTCATTATTGAGATTTTCCAAATCATACATTTCAAGATGTTTCTTTTCCCTACCTGAAATAAGAATCAGCGCCCCCACACCTGTGAAAGGAGGAAATTGTTGACTTTCAGAGAGAATTCCTATAATGAATTTAAAGATGATTAAAAGTATTGTTTTGCAAATTTGCCATTCATGATAAAGGGGACACACACACTCAAATTTAAACATATGGCTTGATTTTGATAGGAATTTTAAGGATGAATATGGGTCACTGTATTTCCATTCGTTTGAGATTCCTTTCCTATGTCTACCAACATACCTGACTATTGACAATTATGAGTAATATCAGACCGGTTTGTATTCATCAGCAGCTGACTAATGTCCTATAATGAGTTCCTTTGATTTTATAAGGAAAATACCTGAAAATATTAATAATTAAATCTTGTTACCCATCTTACCTCTTCAGGTGGAGTCACTACATAGGGGGGATTAAACACCAGAAGATCAACTTTTTCCTTCAATCTTGGTAATAAGCCTTTGACCTAAATGTTTTAATAGTCAGAATTTTAAACTGGACTCAGAATTAAAATAGATAAATACATAAATCTTTAAAAATACTTTCTTCCCATGTTTTTAGAGAAAAATGTGTTAGAGGACTAAAATTATAGACAGAGATAAATATTTTTATATTTTCTTCAGATATAGGTTATATGCATTTACTTAAAAACAGGAAATTAAACTATTTATCAGAATGAACATAAAATGTACAAAAAGCCTCTGCTTTTCAACAGCTCATATGTTTACACTCTGGGTTCACTTTTGGAAGATTAAATAAGGAAGCAAGCTCTCCTATGTTCTATATAGATATACATATGCTTTTAACCTATTGCTCTAACTTAAACATTTATTTTCTGTTACCAAGAGAAATGTTTTATGAGATAACAAAAAAACATGAGAAAATGCATATGTATAAAAATAGATATACATATATGTGCATATATATATATATATTTGCTTTCTACTTTACTCATAAAATAAAGATATATAAATAAATGTATTGGCTGAAACAAGTAGATATCAAAGAGAGGACTGAAAAAAGTGGAAGAGACACTGAAAATCTCAGTTGTTGGGCATTTTGTAAATCTTTAAACCATTGGGTGCAATTTTCTGTGAACCCACAACAAAAATGTCTTTTTAAACAAAGTGCTTTCAGGACACAATGCCATTTAAAGTATTCCTTTGGTTCCTCGGATGACTGAATTATATACATACTCACAAAACCACGTCTCGTCATGCCACCCTGCACTGTCACAGGCACAGTAAAGTAAAAACACTGTATGTGGATGGGCTCTCACCCCTAAAGCCATTTCCTTTAATTGTCACTTTGTACAGACTCTCATCCATGAATTCTGAGGCTGTTTCTTTCTTTTTTTTTCTTTTTTAGATTTATTTATTTGAGAGAGAGAGAAAGCGTGCGCGCACGTGCACCCATGCCTGAACAGGGCAGAGGAAGAGGAAGCAGACTCCCCGCTGAGCACGGAGCCTGATGTGGAGCTCCATCCCAGAGACCCCGAGATCCTGACTTGAGTTGAAATTAAGAGTCGGTCACCTAGCAACTGCGCTTAACCAACTGCGCCAACCAGGCGTCCCCGAGGCTGTTTCTTGAGATGGAACAGCTGAAGTACTTCAGGCAGGGTCCGAAGGGTCAGGTATTTTATTAACATTCTTACAATTCTCCCATATAGGCACAGAGACCTACCATTATTCACTAAATATTTTTCTTTAAATGGACTTTTTTGTTGTTGTTGTTAAATAAATTTGCTCTAAAGGGAAATCAGTATTACTTCCTGGAAACAGAAATGACTACAAGGATAAATGGGATATAAATTTAAAAAATGTCATGGTTATAGTTACTGCTTCCAGTCTGAGTGTGACGCAGGCCTTCTGCCTCTTTGTTAGAAACATTTGGGGGGGCGCCTGGGTGGCTCAGTCAGTTAAGCATCTGCCTTCAGCTCAGGTCATGATCCCAGAGTCCTGGGACTGTGTCCCACGTGGAGTCCCACATGGAGCTCCACATGAAGCCCCCCCCCCCCCCCCTCCCCCCTGGGGGGCCCCCCCCCCCCCCGCGCTGCTCAGCAGGGAGCCTGCTTGTCCCTCTCCTCCTTCTGTCCTGCTTGTGCTCTCTCTCACAGTCTTTCACATAAATAATAAATAAATACATAAATATGTAAATATGAGACTGACACGCTACCTACTGCGCTAACGAGGCACCTCATAAATATGTAAATAAATAAAATCTTTGAGAGAGAGGGAAAAAAAGAGACATTTGCAAGTGTTTAAACTGAGAACTTCTCCCAGATGTAATCAAAATAGCTGAAGGAGGATTAGAGAGGAAAGAGCTTTTACATCATGTGATTCAAAGTTATTTAACACTCAGTCATACCGTCTCAGTACTGGGCACATCACTGGGCTATTTACACACAGTGTGAAACACTGCCTTACAACTTCCATTTTATCCCGGTTTCTAAAAGCATTTCTGTTTGTCGTCTTAATAGGACTGTTAACTATAAAGTTCAAAAAGAACACACGAATAGTATCTTTCAGGAGGTGTTACAGAGGTACCTCTTCTTTCTCTAGTCATTTAAAAAGTGAAAAGTAACATTTTTAAGGGACGTGATTCAGGAATACCTTTGTCTCCAAGTAGGAAGATGACTAGTTATCTGCTGTTCCTTTTGGTAGTGATACTGCAGCATGAGGAAATACATTTGAAATAACCAATTTTTAATTACATAAAGAAATTAAGTTTCTCACATTGTTAAAAAAAAAAAAAAAAAAAAAAGTCCAGAAGGTAATTTTCCAGAAATGTTGAGAAGGGAAACTAAAAAAGAATTTGCTTTGTAATTGTTTATAATGGCTCTGAGGTGGGGGCGCCTGGGTGGCTCAGTCATTAAGCGGCTGCCTTCAGCTCAGGTCATGATCCCAAGATCCTGGGAATGAACCCCACGTCGGGCTCCCTGCTCAGCGGAGAGCCTGCTTCTCCTTCTCCCTCTGTCTGCTGCTCTGCCTACTTGTGCTCTCTATCTCTCTGTCAAATAAATAAATAAAGTCTTAAAAAAAATGGTTCTGAGGTACTATATATTAATAATCATTGCAGTATGGATTTTAAATAAAGGAAAAAATTGCTACTAAAATACAGAAAATTATGTAGTTTAAAAAGGAAATGGATTTATTATTTTTGTTTAAGATTTTTTTTATTTAAGATCACAAGTAGGCAGAGAGGCAGGCAGAGAGAGAGAGGAGGAAGCGGGCTCCCTGCTGAGCAGAGCCCGACGCGGGGCTCCATCCCAGGACGCCGAGATCATGACCGGAGCCGAAGGCAGAGGCTCAACCCACTGAGCCACCCAGGCACCCCAAAGGAAATGGATTTAAATGAGAAAGTCACTGTAGACTGGATATAAGGTCTAATCACACACACCCCTCATCCATCCACATTCAGCTTTTGGGTGGTCTCAGAGCATTAGAACAGATCTAAAAATGGGGAAGTAAGCAAAAAAGGCCTCTGACAAGAAGTTTTAAATTCAAACAGCAAAATGTACTTTATTTATATGAGAGGGTCTTATTTAGAGCCCCTGAACTCTTAGCTTAAATACACGTTTAACTAAATCACTTATTTGGTATTCTAGCAAACAGCACATGGAAAGAGAGAGTGGAAATGCCACTAACAGGTAACAGTAAAATAAGACAACATAAAGCAAGAGAAAAGAGACAAAGAGGAGAGGAAATGAAAACTCAAAATCACTGCAGGCTCTAGCTACTCAGTGTAAGGAAGAAAGCCCTGAGTAATCCTCATCACAGCTAGCACAGAATAGTAACTAATGCTCATTTTAATGACCCTGAATCAATCAAAGATAAAGTTATGTTTAGTTTGTTTTAGGAATGTCAGGAAAGCCATATGACATATCTGAAAAAAGTCTTTTTTCTAAAACTAAAAAAGAAGCAAAATAAAAGTACTGCTGCTTTGTAAACAGGTAAGCTTAGTTATCTAAAACAATGATTTTGATCATGGCTGTGATAATCTATGCCTAGTGTTCTGAATATTAAACAAACACAGAGTTTTGTAAGTGGATCATAATCTATGCTAATGCCTCCTTCTTCCTTCTTTCTTTGTCAGCATTCAGGGTCACCATCACCTCGAACCACCGAGAGAGTTGACTGGCATGGACTACCATGAGCCATGTCCTGAAACAGCCGGGAGACTTCTAGATTTAGACTCAATGGTCTGGCCTTAAATTCTGTAATTATCACTCTCTTAGTTACAGGACTTTAAAAAATGAACCTCACCTCAGTTTCTACCTCGGTTAAAAATATATATATTCTGAATTTCTTATTTATCTAAAGTTTTATTATCATACCAAAACCATATATTTAACACTAATCATGGACATAATAAAGAAGTTAAAATTTTAAAGGGCAAAACCTTCACAGTGATCCCATGTAAATCACCTGAGTACCTTTCTTGATAATCTAGTTTTTAATAGCAGTAACAAGTTCTAATAGGTAAGAATTTCTTACATATTTGGCTTAATTCCTTCTAAACTGACAAATCACTTCTGAGTTTAAAAAAGCAGAAAAGCTAAATACTCTTAACACTAAGAATACATGTCAAGAAGCATGGAAAGCATTTTTATTTCTTATCCCTATCTGGTACATGGTGTTAAGATTTTTGCTTACAAAAAAGCACTTTTAACAACAACAAATATCCAAAATCATCCAAGTCTTACTAATTAAAATATTAAAGGAAAACTGTGACTGGGAAATATATGTGTAACTTAAAATGATGGCTCTGTTATTGTGATGTGTTTTTTTACCTGTCCAGGCCTCATTCCACTCTTCCTTCTGATTTCATCTCCTTCATCTCTAATGGGTAAATTCTCTATCCTCTCATTCTCAATCCATTTAGCTTGGGTTGGGCTTATCCCAATGCAGCTGTCGGGGTGGGACTATGACTCAGGCCTAAACCAGTCATCTGCATATTTCAATCCCCTTTGGCCACAGTGAGAGATTTTGAGATGGCATATGATCCAAGATGATCCAAGCAATACTCACTCTGGGGCTTGTAAGACAAACTAAATAGAAAGAGATTCTTTCCATGGAAGGATAAGGGAGGTGTTTGCTGAGAAGTGAGAAATAGACATTCAAGTATCTTCTTACCAAGAAGAAAAAGACTACCTAGAAATAGAGCCAACAGAGAAGTTCAGAGCTAAGAAAAAGATGCCTGTCATATCATTTGAGTTCCTGGAGCCAGCTGTGCCTGAAGCCACACACCTTACTTAAGCCAGTTTAAACTGGATTCTCTGTCACTTCTGATCCTTCCAAGACAGTAGAAATTTCCTTTGAATTCTGGACAAGATGAATTACATCAGTTAAGAATTTACTTTGTAAATTATGGGGTATACTATTTAGTGGATTAAAAGTTAATTAATTTATCACTCAAGTTTCTTTGACCTAATCATCTTAACCTTATTTGAAAAGGAAATTAACTATTATTGGACAAGGATGAATAGCTCACCAAATCTGTAATTACTGGATGAATGTGGACTTTGTTACAGTGTGCTGTCTCCAGAGTGCAAGCTGCTGCTTCAGGGTTGATATCAGTGCACCTAGAAACAGAAAGAAAGAAAACTGTATTTTACGACCATGAGGCAACCTATTACTGAAAAATTTTAAAGTGTTACACTGCTTTTTTACAAAGCAGATTTAGAAAAAAATGAAAATGCTTTAATAATGGTGAAGGAAAAAGAAGTAAGATGTTAAATTAATGAAAAAGATTGTTATATTGATATAATGTGCAAGAGCAGAAACTACACATATATGCATACACATCTGAAGGAATGAAATTATGAATCTAATGTATACTATGCCACCACAAAAATGAAATTTAAAAGGAATTTTTGAAAAATAGTCATGATACAATATTAAAAACATAGGAAATGGGAAAAAAAGAAAGAAATACACTTGGACCATGTGTGGTAGAATTGGAAGTGATTTTTATTTTCTTCTTTAAACTTTCCATATTCTTAAATCTTCTTAAAAAATTAAGTAATTTTCAATTTTTTCTGGCAATCATTGCCTAAAAAATTTCAAATTTAGAAATACCCAAAAAATTATTTTGTTGCTTCTATAACTATGTAGTATGATGGAACAGTTTTGGACATGCAGTTAAAATGTTTAGGGAAGAATAATTTATAATCTGAGTCCTTACTACACTTAAGTAGACCCTTTCAGATATATACCATTCATTTACAATATATATATATATACCATTAATTTACAAAAATGATTTCATTAGGGCAGTCATATCCCTAGTGAATTTCTTAGTGGAAGATGTGGATGAATTTGATATACTTACATGTACAAAGCTTGAGGACCTATCATAGAGGCTAGAAATGCAGATACCACTCCAGACCCTGATCCAACTTCAAGGCATATTTCCACTCTAAAAAAGCAAAATAAAATAAATGAGTAGAGCAGGATAAAAATATATATCACAAAAAATGATGCTCAATCTACTTTTAATGTGTATTTCTTCAGCATCACTCATCTGCAAATATATGGAAATACAAAAGAAATTCATAAACACACTAATTTCTGACAACCACTTTGTACTCATTTAATACTGTTTAACTCAGAATTGTTTGAGGTGTGTAATTAAAGTCCATAAAATAGATGGCTTCCAATTAATTACTACAAAACATTACATAAAACTATGGAATAAGGTTGAAGGTTGAAAATATTAATATGAAAAACATCAACCCTTCTCACAAGGGTTTAGTAGTTTAGTACTTTCCTAAAATGATAGGGTTAGTTATTATACTATGTATTTATGATGTTTTCCCTATCATTTAAAAGTACATAACATTCACAAATCCATTAGCATATCCTAGGCAGAAAAAAATTCCCCCTTTCTCTTAATAGATTTAGAGCAGGAAGGAAAGTGGTTATTTGTACAGCTGTACATTGAACTGAGAAAATCTCACAGAATCTGATCTTAGAATATTAATATAATTTTAAAATGCTTTTGAATAAATTCTTTATTACACTCTATTTTATCCTTCAATTAAATTTACTTCCGTGACTATAATCTACATATGCATCAAAAGCACTAATTTTCTCCATCACAGAAATGGGTTTAATGGGATTTAGGTCTTGCTGGCTACTAAGGCCTCAAACAACTATCCAAAAATAAACTCTAGCAGCTTCTAATTTTTGGAATCAATCCACATTACCTGACAAAACTTTATTATTCTGTGGGAAGGTCTGCTGAACCTTACCAGGAGGCTTTTATTTGAAAATAACTATCAGGCTTTCATAAACAGAATCCCAAGAACAGAAATAGATTAATCTGACTTTATAACAAAATCATCTCCTTTCACAGCATACTTTGCAATGCAATTTGTGCTTGTAAATCTTTCTGGGGTATCTTTAGACTACAAGACAAATTACAAAAAGAAATATACTGTTCTACATTCCAGTAAACCCCAAAGTTCCATCGTTTACAATGAAAAGCTGGTTTAATAAGCGTTGGGGCATTTTATATATGGAAAAATCTGACCAGGTTTAAGAGAGGTAAACACAATACAGACATACAGATCTATGAAGCCTGACTGCTGTTTCATCTTGAGATAACCAATTTCAAGTCTTGATCTTTAAAAATCTAATTACTCAAATTCCTTTCATTAAAAAAATAACAATGTAGGTATTCATTCTTTTAATGTCATTTAAAATTTATGGGGGGGCACTTCAACAAGTCAATTTTATTATTTACAAAGTGCTAGGAAAAATTCCATAGGCTGCTAACTCTGTAGCTATTTAAAATTTTAAGTTAAATGAAAAATTAACGCTCTGCAAGTCGCACTAGCCACGTCTCAAGGGTTCGGTAGCCACACATGGCGAAATGGCTAGTGGTTCAGGGCAGAATATGCTGTTCAGGGGGTTTCAAAATACTTATCCACGCCACGATCTCACAGCCTCACTTCATTTTTGTGCCCTTCCCTTCCTATAGGGTGCTTTTGTACAGTGAGTAAATTAAATGTCACCTAACTTTTAATATTGGCGAAAAAATTTTATATTAATAAGCCACGTTTTCGGAATATTTGGTTTTTAAACGTGTTATCACATCACTGCTCTCGGGGGCTCGTGGAAAAGATACACGCTGGCGTAGTAAGGAGCTGTGGAGCTCCTGGGACCAAAGCAACACCTTGGCAAAAGTAGAGAGATCCCTGGCCCGCTCATTACAGGAATCTAAAGCGAAATCGTCTGTAACGGCGTTCTGGTATCCATGTTCGCCAAGTCTAAGGACACCGCCTCCTCTCGGGGCACACAGCATCCCTTCTCTCCCGGGCTCTCCTTCGCCGCCGCCTCTCCAGGACGCCCGAGCCCTCTCCCGTGGACCCTCGTCCTCCTCGCACCCTGTCAGCTCGGCCGCTGCTGCCTCGAGCGCGTCCAGCAGCAGGAACGTATCCTCCGCGGGCTCGTACACATTGGTGAAGGCGCCGCGGCCCACGTGCCCATACAGCGGTGTGGGGAAGCTCGGAGCCGCCATGTTTCTTCCCTCGGTCCCACGCGCAGGCGCTGAAGCTCCGCGCGCGCAGGCCCGGCAGCGGGGGGCGGGGAAATGGGGGCGGAGCAGTGGGGGCGGGGCGCCGGAGACGGAGAGACGAATCCCGGCTTGTGAATGTTCTTGGAATTTCTAAGTAAACAGTTATGTAATCTGCAACTGCTGACATTTGCTTTCTTATTTAGAATATTTAAATTTATTTTATTTTATAGGTTAGCCCTTGATGCAGGGCATCCTCGATTGTTTTTGACTAAGGGGAGTATTTTTTCCTTTATATTCAAAAGTTTTCTTCTATTTCTTGTTTGCAAAGAATTGAAAAAATACATAATGGTTACTAAATTTTACTTTTTAAAATATCAATTGAACTTTAAGTTTTGAGCTTTAAGATTAAAATTTTCTCTCACTTAACTTTTTACTGTAGTATATTATAAAAATTACCTTCCTAATGTTGAATCATGAAGGCACTTTTTATAAGTCTCACTCAAGCTAGATGATTTTTCTTTTAATATCCTGCTGAATTTGGAATGCTAATAATCTAGCTCTGTTTTGATTATGCTGTCCTCACCGGATGAGTTAGGACATTGTTTCTGGAACATTTGGTAGAACTCACCCATGAAATTGGATGGATTTAGTGGTTTTTTGTTTTGTTTTGTTTTGTTTTTTTTAGTGGATGGGTCTCTGCTGTTTTGGGGCATCTTCTATAGATTGTTAGATTCTTCAGGCATTTGTACTCTTTTTCAGTCAATTTTTGCAATTTTCCAATAAAACATTTTTACATCTAGTTTTTTAAAAATTTGAGTAACAAAAAACACAGGTAAATACCTAGATACCATTTTTTAAAAACCTGAGTACCTATCACCCAGAACTGATAATTAATACTACTTTCTCATATTTCCTTAAGAGTATTTTATTTTTAAAATACATATTATACTATATATTACTATTTAATACGTGTGTTAAATGTAATATTTATTATAGCGAATTAGCTCACATTATCATGGAGACTCACAAACCCAAAATCTACAGAGCCAATTTCTTGTCCTTAAGAGTTTTTAAATATAAGAACTAACATAATACAGATGAAGTGGATGTTTTTTCTGTATTCATTCTCAGTTCCATTTTGTAAACCTCTCTCCAACCTGACTTCTCTCATGAATTTAGCATGTATCCCTCCAATCAATGTTTTTATGTTTTTACGTTCAGATATTCATGAGCAGTGAATGGTTAGTATGTTTTCAAATTTGTTTCTCTGGTAATAGGTTGGACAAACTGTTCTTCCCATTTCTTTTTCACTGAAAATTCTCACTCTGTGTTTTTATATATATAAAGTTAGTTTACTCTTTTTCATTGCCAGGTAGTATTATATGTAAATATAAAATATCCTATCTGGAATGGATAAATATCTATTGGTAAACATTTAATCCTCTCCAGATTTTCATTATTTTAAACAACACTGTGATTAACTTTCTCAAACAAGCTTTTTTCTGATCCTTTACAAAAGTTTCTTGGGATCCAAGCCAGAATGGATTAGCAGTGTTGTATACACATTTTCAATTTTACTAAACATTTTCAAATTTCTTTCCAAATTAATTGTGTTTAGTTGGTGGGAGACTTAATATTTGATTTATTATTATTAGATTTATTTTTTAAATTTATTTTAAACTGAATTGGCCTGGTTGTGATTGAGTTTAGGCATGTATTCTAAGTCCATGACCATGCAAGTCAACATACATAATATATAACATATATTGAATTTCTTCCTTTGTGAACTGTCTGTTCATTTTTGCCTATTTTTTTCCTTTTGAATTTTGTTTTTTATTTCCATTAAAGTTGATACATGCATAATTTAATAGGCCAAATAGTGCTACATGAGTTATTATGAAAAGCAGTCCAGTCTAGTACACCAAGATCTAATTTCTCATGTCTCATTCTCCAGAGATGACCATTTTCAACTTTTATCTGTTTCTTTGGCCATTTATCCATATGTCTATGTACCAAGCTTATAACGATATTAATTCATTTCTCAATTTTCACACTATCTATTGAGTTCTTATGATAGAAGGTAAAATTCACGTGACTTTGATTCTCCTGCTGCCAGGACCCCTCTCCTTCTATTCCCAATATGGGTATATTGCGATTGATGATTGATTGATTGATTGATTTTTACATTATTCTTTCTATAGAAATGGTATCTGGAACTGATTTCTGTATTATACCAGTTACTTCCTTGCACAACTTTTTGCTTTGCCTTAAAGTTAATAATCATCTGTTGTATTACTTTCCTAGGTCTGCCGTAATAAGTTATTTCAAACTAGATGGCTTAAAACAACAGAAATTTATCCTCTCTATTCTGGAAGTCTGAAATACAATATCCATGGTAGAAGGGCCATGGCTCCCTATGAAGGCTCTAGGGGAGAATCCTTCCTTGCATCTTCTACCCTTTGATGGTTGACAGTAATCTCTGGCCTTCCTTGCCTTCCATCAGCAGCATAACTCCTATTTCTGCCCTGGTCTTCATGTGGACTTCTTTCCAGTGTATCTTTTCTTCCTCCAAACCTCTTTCCTTATAAGGACACCAATCATGGGGTTTGGGGCCCACCTTAATCCAGTATGACCTCATTTTAACTTGATTACATTTGCAAAGACACTTTGCAAATAAAGACACATGTATATGTGTATGTGTACATACACATATACATTATATATATATATATATATATATATATATATATATAGGATTTTAGCATATCTTTTTGGGGAATGTGATTGAACCCACAACGTGTAGTAATAACTGCTCTTTCATTTGCATAGTTATCTACATATCACAGTTCAGCCTCAAAGTCTTTTCTAGTTGTTTACCCCCTGCCTGACTCTACCCCATCCCAGTACATTTAAAGACATCGAGCATCCTGGTTATTTCTGTCTAATCTATTTAGGCACCAGTATATGTCTCTGGGACTCATCCCCGGGTTCTGTTTCTTCAGCTCTATCCTCAGGCTAGCCCTCGCTCTGATGCCAGGATGGCTGCGTCTTACAGCTTCACTCCATAAATTCAGTGGCAGAGTCTTTTTCAGTCACTTGCACTCAAGTCCTGTCATTCACTCCCTCTTACTGGCCCCAAATGGGTCCTATGCTCATGCTTGAATTGATCCGGTGGCCAGATATATCATGAATTGATTTCCTCACACCTGCCCTGGGGCCTGGGTGGAGGCCTCATCACCACAAGATAGCCAGAATGGTACCCCAAGAGCAAAATCATAGTGCTGATATAAGTGCTGGGCAAAACCACAAAATACATACTACATTAAAGCGTCTCACAGATGGTTGGTGATTACTCTACTCTGGTTTGCTATTGCCTTTTTGTTTTGTTTATACTATCTCTTACTCTGCAGATATTTAAAAATAATTAAATCTGTTTTTTGGGGGGTTTCTGATTTATGTGTTGTGCTAAGAAAATGCTCTCTAAGAAAAGTTTATTTTCTGGTTTCAAAGTATAGACGTCGCTATATTAATTGGATCTACCTTATTAACTAGGTCGTTAGATTTTTTTTTTTTAAGAGACACAAGCTGGGGCAGCTGCAGGCAGAGGGAGAAGCAGGCTCCCCAATGAGCAAGGAGTCTGATGCCAGACCCCATCCCAGGACTCTTGGATCATGACCTGAGCCGAAGGCAGATGCTTAACTGACTGAGCCACCAAGGCAGCCCCATGCAAGTCAACATATATAATATATATTATGTACATAAATTTTACTTTTCATCTTGTTTTTCAATATGATCAGTATCTTTCTTTCATCAATTCTGGGAAATCTATTTATATGTTCTTTGTTTTTTCCTTCCCTTCCCTTTTGTTCTTGTCTGCTGGAATTCCAATCATATAGATGGAGACGCACTCGATGTCTTCAGGTCTTTTTGTTTTTATTCTTTCTATCTGCCTTAGATTGGGCTACCTGGAAATGGATGCTGAGATGGAGATCTGCAGATAGAAGGCTTATTGCTTAAGTTCTCTCAGAGACAATATCTGGGAGGGAAAGATAAGGAGGGTAGGGTAAAAGGAGAAGTTTAACTGTGATGCAGTTGTAAGAAAGGCCTCACCTGACTGTTCAGGGAGCTTTGGGGCTGGGATTACCCTTCAGATTGTCCTGAATCCAAGCAAGGGGGTCTGTGTGCCTTTGTGGAAAGGACATAGGGTAATTCCTGGAGAGAGACTTGGCTGTGAGCTGCCAGTAGCCAGCAGGTGGCAGAACATGTGGATCCCCGGCAGGGATCTGGGTGGTGGACCACAGCACCTATAACACCATCTCTGTCATTCTGAGCACAATTTCGGCTTCCAGCGAGCATGAATATATTCTGCCTTTTGGCTTACCTATTAAGATTTTTATTTGGTAAGCATTTTCTTTTTTCTAATCTGGGGTTCTTAAAAACAGTATTTTGTTTCATAGATACAGTATCCATTCTCATCTCTCTGTGGTTTTCAATTGTACTATTTTCAAAGTTTCCATTTGTTTGCTGCATAAATTCTCCCTTAGTGACCTTCATTAGCTTGTATGTTACTCTTTCATGGTGTTTGCTTACTTTAGAGTTTACTTTCTGCTTGCATGGCTGTCTTTGTAGTTCAGGTTGGGTCAGCCTGCCTGTGAAGGTATTATGTACACCAGAGTCAGCAACAGGGATTGTAGAAGAGGGGGTGTTTAGGTGCCAGACAGGGCATCCCAGTAAGCTTCTCTTAGGAAAGTAGAGCTCCCTCTTCCTCCTGAGCTTGGCCTCTGGCCCAACATTTACAGCCAATGCTCCAGCATATCCGTGTTTTCTACTCCAGATGGAAGGTGATGAAATCAGCCACTCTGGTGGTTGCTCCATGATTCTTTCCAATAAATTGTGTCCACAGCCTGGACACTCATTCTTCTAGAATTGCCCTGGATTTCCTTGAACAATTATATGCTTTCTACTCTCTTTTCAGGATGGTGGGATGGTGTATCACCTCACTGAGTATCCTTTCCATCTTTCTT